ATATTATATATATATAAATATATATCTTCTTACCTGTATCTAGCTCATCTTATTGGTCTATTTAAATGGTTTCTGGTTATCTGAAAATTTAATTACAGAGAATCATTTTTCATGGAAGATGATGGTATAGATTCTAATACGTATGACATTTTAATTTGTCTATGGTTAGCATTACTTTTCAAGCGCATTTCGACATTGTACAACTACAAAATTAGTAAAAGGGCCGAATTAGTCAGAAGGCTTGTAATAGAAGACATCTTTCAATTCAACGTATTTATTGACGTCTCCAAAACGATAACTTTCCTGGTCCAAAATTCTAGAACGAGATAACACGTATTGGTTTACATCTCAGCGTCAGTTTTGGGCTATTAAATTCTGTACTAATTAAGCCCTCAATAGTTTTGCAGTTTAGTTGAAGTGGGTAGGTTCGGTACTTATTTATTAGGAAAAGAATAAGATGACAAATACCCCGAGTGCGTGAGATTATATCATTTTAAGTCAAATATTAGTCGCGGTTTTAAATTTTTTTTTAATTTGAATTGAGATGTGATTTTATGTGAATTTTTTTACTGTAGCAGTAATTTTTTATGAGAGTTTTTAATTATAATAAAATTAAAATTAAATATTTAAATCGGTGAAATGAACGACGTTAATCAAGATTAAAGAGTTAAAATCTCAATTCATGCTATAAAGATAAATTCAATAATTTTCTTTTTTTTATGGGGAGAGGAATAAATATCTAAACATGCAACAATCTTCTCTTATATATGTTAATTTTGTGTGTTCATTAGTCACGTCTTTATCTATTTATTCCTAACGATGACATAAATTGTAAACAACTTGGCTAACGAACGAAAACAAGGACAAAAGGAGGTGGACCAACAATAGTTTAATACTTTAACACTTTTCTTCACATATGGACTGGACAATAGGTAATCGTATGAGTAAATTAATTAGAAAGCCCAACACGTGAATATTTAAGGCCGAGATATATTAAAGACCCAACACATGATGACAATTTAAATGAGGATAAAAAGTGCAATTACGGGGGTTTAAACTCAAGACATCCCGCTCTAATACCATGTTATGTTAGTTTAGCAATCCATCCCAAAAGCTTAAGTTATTAGGAGGTGAACCAACAATAGTTTTATACTTTAACACTCCCCCTCACGTGTGGGCTGGACAATGAACAATCGTGTGGGTAAATTAATTGGAAAGCCCAACATGTGAATATTTAAGCTCGAGATATATTAAAGACCTAATACATGATGACAATTTAAATGAGATAAAGAGTGCAATTATGAAGGTTTGAAACTCATGATCTCCCGTTCTGATACTATATTAGTTTATCAATTTATCTCAAAAACTTAAACTATTAAGAAGTGGACTAATAAAAATTTTACACTTTAACACATCTTTATCTATTTATTCCTAAGGATGACATAAACTGCAAACAACTTGGCTAACGAATGAAGACAAGGACAAAAGGAGGACTAAACCTCGTTCCCCTTGGCCTACAAAATGAAACCAAACCACTTTTATTTATTTATTGAACCGCCTTCGAGATAAACGAAGAGTGAGCTATCTTGTATTGTTTCGATAGCTTTGAGAATATAAAAGAGGAAGTCATTATCAAAGAGTACAATTTATTCGAACCAAGGAGCCAAAGAGTAACGTTTGGGTTGATTTGGACAAATATATAATAGAGAGACCCCTTTTCTCTTTGATATGTTTATTTATTTATTTTTTAATCCGTTAATATTTTATTTTTTTTTCTTTTTTGGCTCTTCGTTTGAATGAACTTGAATTCATGCGTAATAGATAATATGATTATGCTAGAACTCACTAATTAATTTGTTAAGGGAATGTCATACATTTCATGCATTTACCCCTTAACATTTTCTTTTTCATATAATAAATAAACAAACAACAGAATAAAACAAGAAAAAAGAAGAACAAGGTATAAAAGGGGGAAAAAGAAAAAAAAAAAAAAACCCCCTTTAAAATAAGATAACACGTCCACTTCAATATTGTGTTTGCACATCTTTTTCTCCCAAAGCAAGGCAAACGAAAGGTCTTCTTTGTCTGAAATGATACTGAAAGGAATTCCGTATCCTTCAGAAAACGAAGCAGCAAATTATGGTCCAAACAATTTTTCTAAAAAATAAAATTATCTCCAGCTCCATATGAAAGTTTCCACTAATTTATAAATAACACTAAAAATATTCATACCTAATGTTTGACACATCACCTAAAAAGGGTAAATTGTAATTGATAAGCCCGGAACTTATCAATGTTTAGCAATTTGGACTCTAAATTTTAAAATTTGACAAATAAGACCCTAAATTTGATAATTATTGCATTGTGGTCTAATAGTTAATGAATGCCAAATTATTGGACGAAAAGGCTGGTAAGATTTTTACACAAAAATGCATCTAAAACTTTATGTTTGTTGGCAAGTTAGATTTTGAATTTTTTTTCCCCACATTGATGCAACCTAAACTCATCGGAGTTTGGCAACTTAAACTCTAAACTTTTAATTTTTGTAAATGAAACACTAAATTGAAAATTTTATTGCACTTGTAGTCCAATAGCTTACGAATGTCAATTAATGGTCAAAATACCCCACAATTATCGCACCAAAATGCGTCTTAAACTTTTCATTGATTGGCAAATTAGGCTTGAAAATTTTTTAATTTTAATATTTGGAATAGTAATTGACGTCCATCATCAATTGGATTACATTGTAATGAATTTTCAAATTTAGGATCATAAATACCAAAATTAAAAGAGTAAACTACACTGTTGCATCCCAAATTATTCATTTTTGTATAATGAACATTGAATTTTCAATTTTAACAAATTGCACTATGAACTTTAAAATCAGTTACAATTGAAGTTCAATAGCTGATAGTTTGAGACATAAGATTTACATGTGATATGGTTTGAAAAATGAAAATTTTTGCCTTTCAAACATCAATCTTGTGTTTTAAATTGTCAATTTGAGAACGTTTGTTAGCTATTGAACCTCATTTACTATTGATTTTAATGTTCGGGTGTAGTTTGAGGTCCATTATGTAAAAAAATGCATAGTTTGAAGTGACTCAGTGCAATTTACTCAAATTAAAAAGCTTGGTTTCAACTTGTAAATAATAAAGAAAGTAAGGTGCACCAGTGCAAAATTAATCGATCAGACCACATTCCCATAATCCTTAAATTTAGGGCCCTAAAAATAAATAGTAAAAGTAAAGTTGGAGTCCAACTTGCAAATTATGAAAATTTCAGGGTGCATAAGTTATAAGTTTAATTTTCTACCTTTTAAAAAATATAATTCAAGAATATTAAGTATAAATATAAAACAAATTAAAAAAAACCGCCGCCTGCCGTGGAGTTGGCGAGTGGCGACTTTCTCCCGCTGTTTGCCCTTAAAATTTCGATAGTCTATTCCAACTTTTTCCTCTCTCTCTCTCTCTCTCTCTCTCTCTCTAGACTAATAAGCAAATGAGAAAACAAATAAAAATTATTTTGTCTTTCTAGAATTTCGTCGACTCTGTGACTCTGTTCATATATTACTTTGCGGGAAGGACAAAGCTGTCGAAATTCTGGTTTTTCTTTCTTTTGTTAAATTTTTCTTTCTGAATTAATTTCATTTCCTTCTCTCATAAGCTTGTTCTGTACAGTCCGAGAACTCTCAAATTATCATCTCTCTCTCTCTCTCTCTCTATCTCTCTGAGCTAGAGCTGTTCGCCATGGCCGGTCGCTACGATCACAACCCCTTCGACGAAGAAGAAGAAGTCAATCCTTTCTCCGTAAGTCTTTCTTTAACTCCGAGTCTTCTTCTCTGCCGGTTTTTGTAGAATCGAAATTCAAACTGGCTTTTTTTGAGGTTGGTGAATTTCGGTTGAGCTTCTACGGTGGTTGACTTTGTTTCGTCTCTGATCAATTGCGTCTGCTTGGATTATACTTTTTTTTGTTTTTTTTTTTTCCCTCTTTGAATTCGATCGCGTTATGTGTTTGCGGGAATTGAAATGGAGAATTTTGAATTCTCTGGCTTATATTGCTTGGATTTCTGGTGTTAATTCGAGTTTTACTTTAACAACTATACAATTATTTTGAAAAATCAGATACCGATTGGCTTTATGAACTGAGGAATAATCTTTTATGCTTAAGAAATTCTTCCTTTCAAAAATAATTTGTGTCAGGAAGTACTATTTTCTTTGTCCCTGAGATTTTGATGGGAAGCAACTCTAACAAGGAGCTAATGGTTCTTTTTAGAGTCCAGCTATAGATTTGATATAGTAAGTTAATCCTTACATAATCATGAATAATTGATTTTTCTAATTGGTGAAAGATGAAATTTGATATTTGTAAGTTAATCCATACCTATGTTATGTACTTTGTCCGGGCTTTGCATGGTATTTCGTTGTTATTAATATCTAAATATGTGTCTGATGGTGGTATAAATTCCTCTTTTTCGCAGTTTTTTATTTTTTTTTTTATTTTTTAATTTTGAACCAAAAAAAAAAAAACTTGTATTCATACTCTAATGCAAGTTCTACTTTTGTAATTACATTCAGGACCCAGGAGTTAGGGGTAAAGCGTCAGGGCAGTCGAAATATGGTGGGGGTGCTTTTTATACAACAGTAAGCTCATTTACTCTTTAAATTTCTTCATGGAAGCTGTTTTTGTTGGTTTTTTCCCCTTAATAATGCTATTTAAAGTTGCTGTGGGGGTTTGCTCCCGCCTCCCGTACAACTCTTTTAAGGGATTTTTTTTGGTCAGAAGATGAACATGTTGTAAATGATGCTGCCAGCGTATGTCTTATTTGTTTCTTGTTTTACATTTATGCCCTTGTTGTTTATATCCCCCGCCCTTCTAAAGGATATAAATTGTGAATTTTTGAGTTCTTAAGTATGTCTTTGAATAAATTTTCAGAATTCTGGAGGTGTCGCACCAGCCAAAGACTCAAGGTTGTCTCCTCTTCCTCCGGAACCTGTTGATTTCAATTATGGTCGTGGTGCTACAATCGATATACCTATGGACTCAACTGCGGTGGGACTAGATCTTTATTTTGGTATTTTGTCACAACCAATTATCTCTGTCTGTCTAATTGTAGTGCTTTTAACTTAGGATTTGAGAAAGAAAGAGAAGGAACTCCAAGCGAAGGAAGCTGAGTTGAGAAGGCGTGAGGAGGTATCTGTTAGCCAAACTTCTGAATTCTGAGTAAATGAACATTTTACAATGTTAGACTTACCTGGTGGTTTTCCTTTTATTTTGGCCATGAAAAGGGCTTCTTTTGTTGTATCAAAGTTGAATTTTTGTTCTGACATTACAAATTTTTTTTTGAGGGATTTATTTGTTTTCATCAAGTTCAATTCATTTGGGTTTATGAGTGGTGGCTAAGTGAGTCATTTAGGCATGATCATAGACGAACGCTTATGATGAGACATAACTTGTTGTACTACACCGGTCAATATATTTCTATATTGTCATTTGTTAAATAGTTATCTTGTAATTGGTTCTAGGATAAGTGGTTGGCTGTGTATTTAAAGCATACATGAGAAATGACTATAGTTGAGCTTAAAGATGAGCCATGACTCGTTATCATGTAATTCTAGAAGTTATTCTAGACGTTTATTATATATATATATATTTGGCTCGAATGTTTTTGGGAATATGGGTTTTGGTATTGAGAGAACCAATAGATGCAATCAACCTTGGAATGGATTTAATAGGAGTAAGTCCAACTATTTAGGATTTAGGATCACCATTTGTTATGTAGGATATTGCCCTTCTGTGTCCTGGTATATATGAAACCTTGGAATGGATTTAATAGCAGTAAGTCCAACTATTTAAGATTTAGGCTCACCATTTGTATTGTAGGATATTGCCTTTCTGTGTCCTGGACTGTTATATATCCTGTATACTAACAAAATGAGTATGTGGTATTCGCCTATCAAACCAAAAAGTGGGACTTAAACTTGTTACTTATCTTTTCTATTTTTATTATAATTTTTTTAAGTATACCATCTGTTATACGACCATTTCTTTTGCAGAATTAAAAGTCTGTTTAACTTTTGTGCAGGACATAAAACGAAGAGAAGAAGCTGCGGCTCGCGGTAAGCCTTCTTGCATGTTACATTCTTATCTTTAGTGATGTCCTCGTATCTAAGCAAGTATCAGCTTATTGTTTTAATTTACTTTAAGAGTGAAATATTTTGTGTCCAATTCTTTACTTATTCATATAGGGAATTTTCTTCCTTTTGCGCCAGTTGCGAATGTATAGTCATTCATTGTCCCTTTTGTTATGCAGCTGGAATTGTTCTTGAAGAGAAGAATTGGCCACCTTTCTTTCCGATTATCCATCATGATATTGTAAAAGATATACCAATTCATTTACAAAAAGTTCAGTATATTGCATTCTCAACATGGTTAGGTATGCCAATGAATGCTTGATTTTATCATTTTTTGATTTAGTAATAGATGGCTTGGTACTGTTATCTCTGCGTCCTCAAGTTGTAGTAAAAGTATTTTTAGTATGAGAAAAAAAGTAATCCGCAAGGGGTTTCTACTTTTGTTTTAGTTATTTTCTGTTATTTTTCTCCATTTATAAATTATGCATATTATCTATAAGATTGATTTTGAACATGAATATTATACGGCATATTGAGATGGCTTGAGAGCCATAATTCACTGGCTTTGGGAATTGGTTTGTTTGGGTGGATTTCAATTCACCTTAAAGAAACGTTTTAATTGGTTTCCACTTTCCAGGAAACTTGATGGAGGCTTAAGCTTTTTCTAACCATGTGGGAATTTTTTTTCAGTTTGATATTTTTCTATGTACCATTCCAAAAGCCTGGCTGTTTAAGGCTTTAGGGTAACATATGTTTTCTTCTTTTGGTTGTTTTTCACTTGGGAAGGTCAAAATTTTTTCATCTCAACAAGGGGTTGTGTAGATTCATTACTTGTAGCATATAATTTGACTTATTTTCTTTTCCTTCGATGCATCTTTTGAATCAAGTCATTGAAGATGGCCCTGATTTGGTGATGAATTTTGGTTTTGTGCAGGACTGATCCTTTGTCTTCTCTGGAATATCATAGCTGTTACTACAGCATGGATTAAAGGGGAAGGTGAATACAAATTCCCTTTTGCACCTTTCCTATAGATATGGGTGTTTTCATTTTTGAATTACCATCTCAAATGTTTTAGATGTTGATAGTTTCCTGTTCTTTGTTGTAGCGGTGAAGATCTGGTTCCTTGCGCTGATCTATTTCATAGCAGGTGTCCCTGGCTCCTATGTGCTGTGGTACCGTCCACTATATCGTGCTTTTAGGTATATATTTTAGTTTTCAACCTTGGGGGTGCTTGTATTTATGTAGCATGCATTTCTTATTTATATTGGATTGATCCTTTAATCGGAATGCTCCCATTTGTTTGTGTGCAGGAGAGAAAGTGCTTTTAGATTTGGATGGTTTTTCATGTTTTATCTGGCAAGCGTCCTCTGCTGTCTCCTGTTTCTTATCTTTTGTAAATCTGCTATTTGCTTTTAGAATGAAAGGATTCCTCATTGTTGTTCTTATTCTTACATTTTAATTTTGTCTGCCTGCAGCTTCACATTGCTTTCTGCATTTTTGCTGCAGTTGCTCCTCCAATCGTCTTTAAAGGAAAATCTCTCACGTATGTATAGGACTTCCATTTCAGGAATTTGTGTTTAAGTCACTGACCTTCCTTTCCGTTTTACGTTTCTGTTCTCGCTACATTATTTTTCTTTTGCTTTCTCATGCACCTTTGATAAAATTTTGCCGGTGTTTTGATGGGACTACAATTCATATGGTTTGATTGGACTACAATTCATATGGGCCTATGGCTATTTGATGCTCCTGAGGCCTAAACTAGAAATGTCACTGTAATATCATTTAAATGTAAAGAGGTTTCGGACTTGTGTGTATGCAACTGATGTTTGTTGTCTCTTTGGACAGGGGCATTCTGCCTGCGATAGACCTTATAGGGAGCCAAGTTTTGGTTGGGGTAAGCATGTTTCGTTGTTCATCTCACTAGATTTTCCCTTCACGAGTATCGATTAGTATCATTGACCATGAACATGGTGTCAAGTGACACCGGAGTCGATAAACTTGGCTTGTACGCCAAAGCTTGATCATACTAACTATATTTTCTTTGCTCTCTATAGATCTTCTACTTCGTTGGATTTGGACTATTCTGTCTTGAATCGTTGGTCAGCATCACAGTTATTCAGGTGAAATTTTACTTTCTATTTCTCCTGGCAAGATCTCGACAAAGAGTCGCAGAAACTTTCTTCTAACTGTTGGATGTATCAAATCTCTTTTGTTTATTTATTCTTGTTCCTTGTTACTCTGCAGCAAGTATACACGTACTTCCGAGGCAGCGGCAAAGCTGCAGAATTGAAGCGTGAGGCTGCAAGAGAAGCCATGAGGGCAGCACTATGAAGCTAGTGGGGAAAAGGAAAGACAGCGACTCGGTATGGATTTAGGTTGTATATGCCATTAGCCACAGGAATTTTCTGGTAGAAATATTTGTTTGACCATTTCTTTTGCTATACCTTGTTTCAATACTATGTTTGAGTGCTGCTTCTGTAGTATTGTGTATCATGATTCGTGCATGACAAGGAGACCTTGGTAAATACAAAATACAGGATCGTTGGAAACATATTGCCATCCTTACTATTTGAAGCCACTTGACTTGATTTTTGTCCTCATTATTATTTTCTTATGGTGTACTTTTTTAACGGATATATCTAATATACGAGGAGGAATTAAGGCTGAAAATGCCAAAAACCCATTTGTTTCATATATTCAAACTCAAATAATTGATTCCAATATAGTGTTTTTTTCTCATAAAAAATTTAAATTTCAAACGTTAGGATCAAGAATGATTTGAGTATACCTTTCAAATGCGCCCTAACTATTTTTCAGAGGGACTACTTTTTTAATGACGAGATATCAAGTAGTTGTTGTGTCCTCCGTTCCTCTATAGAATGGGGGTAAAGAGACGACCTTCTAAATGAATCAAGTAGTAGTTGTCGAAGTAGTTGTTTCCCCATTCCTGGGTAAAGAGATCCTCATAGATTATAATCATTATTTTGGTAGTACTTTAACCTTCTGAATATGATTATGAGGCGAAGGACCCGGATAAGGAATTTTTTTCTAAAAGAAACCCAGGACATAAGCTTGACATTTCTAGTTTAGCCTTCCAAAGATTTGAATGATCACGCATCTCTTATGGAACTTGCTCACGTTTTTATTCTTGCAGCATCTCTTGGCCCCTGTTAAGTTTGAATTTTATCATCCTTGAACATACTTGTCAAATGTTGGTTTTTGAATATATAGTTTTTTTTTTTTTTTACTTGATATATATTTTGTTTTTCTTTCAAGGGAAATGCAAACTATACGACTATAAAACTAACCTGTTCCGTGTAGAGGTAGAATCAAGCCAATTCTTCGTCTGTGTTTTTTCAACTCTAGTTTCCATGTTGAATTATTATCACTGATGACCCCTGAACTTTAAGATCATTTCTAATTTGTCCTCTAAACTTTAAAAATTCTCACTTTGCATTTTGAATTTTAACTTATTTTCACGTAACCCCATTCTGTTGCAATTTATATTAAAAATATATAGATAAAAAAGAGAATAACGCAGTCGCGTGATCTTTTTGTTTAGATTTTTGCTAAAAAGAAACATATAAAAATCACATGATCACACTTAATCTTTTCTTTTTCTGTCTGATTTTAATAGAAATTACAACAAAATGGGTTAAGTGAGAACAATTCAAAAGATAAAGTGAGACTTTTTAAAGTTCATGACATAAATTGAGAATGACCCTGCGGGAATAATCCTTCCATGTTTTTTTCTATATGATATTTGAATTTTAATTTACTAGGTAAGTGTTGTTGTCGTTTTCTCCTCCTAATTTGTGAGGGGGACCTAGGACAGTATGCTTGCAAATACAATAATGTATTGCACTTTATTATTATTATTATTATTATTATTATTATTATATATGAATACAAGATACACGATATGATTGCATGACACATTGTTTCGATAACAGGACGACCAGTTCTTATGATAAAAAGCAGCGTGTGTCGTTTAAACTGAAACGGCATGTTGTTTGTATAAAGAAACGGCAACAAAGTCTCAAACTTGAACGATGTTTTCTTAATACCATCTACATACATATATACACACGTCATATATATAATGCATGCAGCACCGTACCACAGTTTTATACCAAAATGAATTTTACTTCTAGGAATAAAAACGAAATCTTATGGTAAAACGACATGCAGTTTGTCGTCTTAAGGATCGGTTCTCAAAAGTCAGAACACAGTTCACATTTGATTTCCTTTTTTTAACGGCAACAAAACAAAAAGATGTCGCTTTCCAACCGACATCGACCTTTCAGCTTTCAGACAATAAAGGCTATGTCGTTTTATGTACAGCAACACGAACCGAATGTCGTTTTATGAAGGACAAGTAGCAACAATTTTTTTTTTTTTTTTTGTATAGAGCTTTCAAATCATAGACTAGAGCCCCACACCGATATTTTCCCTCTGTTCCCACATGTTTCATAATTTAACCATATCATTCATTAATATTGAAAAGAAATAAAAATAATATCTCCGATTAGCCAAAGACACGTCTAATCTCATCTCTAGACTCTGGAAAAATACACTAAAATACAAAACCAACTGTCTTCATCGCTTTGAAAACGTTTTTCTTCTGTCCTGATCCAAAATATAACACATAGACACGAATATAACTTGTGAGAAATAAAAAGCTTGAGAGTTCCTTTGAGGAAACCGTACTTTTTTACTTGACATGGACAGGTACGTCCACCGTTGCTCGATTCTCTTATGTGTATATATGGATTATTATTTATGGTATTTTAGTAGTTACTGTATTATAAGATGTGTTACTATTTTCATATTATGTCAATATTGTTGTTCATTTGTTTTTAATCCTAGAAGTACACCTAGTTATTGTGATACGTGACCGGTAACTCAAAGTAGTAGCTAGAGCTTCGAGATTCTTTTTTTTTTTTTTTTTTAGTTTTTTGAGGCACTTGCTATTCCTTTCAATTAGCATGGTTTTAGTACTTTATGCTCTTAATTAACTTTTGGGTATGTTTTGAACTCGTTCTAAAATAATTTTACTTTTTGTATGAAAATGGAAATGAAAACGTTTTCAATCTCAGACAGAAATCATTTTTAAAAATGAGTTTATAGTAGTTTTATCAAGTGATTATTTTCAGTATAAAAAAAATCCATTAATGTCTCTCTCTGCTCGAGAGAGGAGAAAACGGAAACAAAAAATGAAAAACGACTAAAAGTCATTTTTCATTTTCGTTTTTTGTCTTTAATTGTGTCAAATGTCGTTTCTCTCCCGTTTTTATTTTTTCTTTCTCAAAAAACATGAAAAACAAAAATAATTCCAAACACATCCTTCGTTTTTTGTTTTTTTTTTCGTTTTATAAAAACAGGTGGGTATGCACTTTTTTTGTTCATACATTAATTCGTACGTGATATCAAATTTTGATCCTAAAGCATATATATTCAAGGCAAGAAGAGATAACATTGTATAGATATGGACGGCTCTTAGAGCTAGCTTCATGTTTTATTTATGACGGGAGTTCTCTAATTATATATAGTTCATTCTTGCCCATTTTCTTTCGCTTTAGAGTTTTCTAACTATATATTTAAATGGCCATTAATTTTTTGACAAAATCTTTTTGGACCCCGAACTCTTTAAGATTCGTTAGACATGATAAGATTCTGTGTGCAGAGCTGAAAGTGCTTAGGGGGATTGATGGTATTTAAACAGGTACAGATTCTTTGAGGCAAAAGGTTCCAAAACATAGCAAGTTATCCAGTCTTACATCATTTGAGAAAGGTTATATAAAGTTATAGTTCATAAATAAATATACCATATTTCAATTATATTTGACGAAACGCTAAAAAAAAAAAAAAAAAAAAAAAAAAAAAAAATTTTTAAAATTTAAAATAAATTTCAATTTATTTTGACGAAACGCAAAAAAAAAAAAAAAAAAAAAAAACTCATATTTACACATTTAAATTCAAAACGGACAATATATGTCATGAGCGTTTTGTTTTGTTTTGTTTTTTTTTGGTAGAATGATCACATGGAAGGTGATACAAATCTCTTCTTTAGTTTAAAACATTGGTGTGGACACAATATTCAGCATTAATTAGGGATGTGATTATGGCACTCTATGATTTTGTTACTCATTTATGAACAAAGATGTTTATTTTATGGATTTTATGGACCACTATAATGTTCATTTTGTGGCTACGGATAGTGGCATTCTGCTTGAAATAGAAGCTATCTAGGACCATGATTTAGTTGGGATAAGACGTTAATTATTGCGCTTAATTTATAAATTATATTTCGTATTTTTAATAATTGAAGCATATAGGATAAAATAAACTCAAGTCTCACATCATTTAAATATAATAATATGAACTTATACGAACATTAAGTTACCTTATTTAACAAGTTAACTTTTAAGATGGAAATCTTAAGTTTTAAAAAAAATCCAATTTCATCATGGTATTGGAATCCAACAAAAATTTAAACGAGCGGCTCAATTCATCCCATACAAAATTAATGACTCTGAAGAGAACACCATTTCCGGGAGGAATGTAAAAGGTAAAATAAATCCCAAGACTCAAATTATTTAAATACAATAATAACTATCAACTTATAAGGACATAACGTTTGAGATGAAAGGCAAGTCTTTTAAAGGTCCAATTTCCTATTTTGCCCTACATGAGAATCAATAAAGTACCTATTGACACGGATAGTATTGGAGGGTCAATAATTAAGAATATTGGCATTTACATTCCATTTCTCCTGGCTAAACCTCAACAAAGCGCTATGGATATATATATATATATATATAAACTTCTGATCATTAGAACTATCATAATTTCTTTGTTCATGTGATTATTCATTTACACCCCGAGGAAAGATCAGAGCTGCTGAAATTAAGCGTGCTGTTAAAGAAGTAATGAGGGAACCAACATGAAATTGCTAGTGGGGGAAATGAAAAATAATACTCGTGTATTAATGATTTAAACTCATGCTTGTTAATTTGTAATATTTTGGTGTCTCATTACCCGTTCAACTAGCTAGTATGTAAATATCACATCAATATTCTATGTGGTCTGAATGACTTATGATTTTGATAAAACCAAAATTACGTGGCATGAACAATGTGTTAGTTTGCCATAAAATGGGACCCCAAAATTTGAAGAAGACCTAATAACTAGTTGGCATAGATATGGCTTGTATTTGTATATCTCTCTATGTCTCAACCTTGTTAGCCTGGTTTTTGTTTTTATTTTCGTTTTCAAAATATTTGCTAAACAAACACGGTTTACGGACCATTTTCATTTTTGTATATTAAAAGACGTACAAAAATGATTTTAAAAAGAATAAAAAACTAATTCTAAACGCACTCAGAGTGTTCTACATTTTTTCAATGTTTTTAATGGGAGATTTTTATTGTAAAGTATGCGTATAAACTTTAAATTTGATTAAAATTATCAAATCAAAATAATAAAAAAATTAAACAAAACTAACAATTTTTAATATAAGTTGGTTCAAAATTTCTATCGCATTTGTTTTATACTTTGTTGTTTCCAAGAAGAAAAAGATATACCTTTCTATATTCTACAATGGTTTAGTAACATATCAAATCGGTGTTCAATCAAATGGGAAAAGAAAGCCACAAAGTATATACCAAATCATGGTAGTCAACAAGCTTAACATCTTCCATCGAATCAAAGTTATTCCCCTAAAATTATTTAGGAGAAAAGTATTCGCTTTCCCTTCCAGACAAAGAACGCTTCAAATAACAAAAATCAAGAAAGTCCACGAACGTAGCAGGTCGCATATTAACATTATAAATACCGCACTAGACAATCGTACCCAAAATTCAATTATTCAAACCCTAAGTCATGAGTCCATATATATTCTTCCATATTTATTTTATTCATATTCATAACACATTATAACCTTATAAAAATAAAAATAAAAGCCTCGAATAAGCGACAGAATCAGAGCGAGCAAATTCAGAGAGAGAGAAAGTAAAACTGGCAACTCATCAGAGAGTCACAGAATCTCTCTCACACTTACATATATATATATATATATATTATACCATATGTGATCTAATTATCATATATCATATCACCATACGATCTAGTTAATTAAAAAACTGCATCACATACTATATACTCACTTTAACAAGTGCTACTAGTAGTCATAACTCATACATATGTATATGGAAAACTATATATGAATTACCGGCTACCGGCTGCAAACAACCAGAGAAGCCTATAGTAATATTCTTCCCTCTAACAATAGGCGACACACTTCTTCTTACAATCCATGGTGCAGCCACCGCCGCCGCCGCCTCCGCCGTATCCCTTGCCGGAGCGGCTGTAGGAGGTGAAGCACTTGGCCGGACACGTCAGCTTCTTCTTGTAACACGGTCCTTTATCTGTGCACACCACAGTGGGCCTAACTATCCCTCCCTTGTCGTGCCCTCCTTTAGGACCCCCGTACCCGTACCCATACCCGCCGCCAAACCCGTTGCCGTTCCCGAACCCGGGTATGTTGAACCCCGGCCCGGGCCCGAAGAACCCCCCGTTGTTGTTGGAGTTGGAGCCGGGCGACGAACCCTTCGAGCCCTTGAGCTCGGCCGAGAAGGGCCCGTCGGACCCGGGTCGGGCGGAGAGAGAAAGTGAAGAGAGAGAAGTTATGAGCAAAAGGGTCAGCAGAAAGCTTGTTATAAGATTCATTTTTCCTTTTTTTAGGTTTGGAAAGTGAGGGAGTGTGTGATAAGAGAGAAAGTTGGTGTTTTGGGAAGCAAGGGATATATATTATATACAAGTTTTTGGGGGATAAGAATTAAGAGAGAGGGTTAAAAAGGGCATTTATGGAAAAAGTGTTGGAGGACAGTTGAGAAGAGGGCCTCCATGAATGAAGGGTAGGTTTGGTGCAATTATTACGCTCTTTATTATATAAATGGAGTGTTGCAATATAAATACTCTTATTTATATATGTGCATTATAAGCTGATTGATAAGGTTCATAAAATTTGGTTTACGTGTTCAGTAGCATACTTTTGGACTGATCTCTGGGTCCCACGTTGTAGATTTTTAATTCAACAAAATTTAATTTTGGGATTACGTGTGCTATATATATATATGAATAATGAATATTACTTGGATAATAAGATCTTGGAGAGGTGCATGGTGTGAGTGTGACAATGTCACGATGTTTGGTTCGTCTGCAACAGATCACGATCACAAGATATGTGAACCATTAATTTAATGGACTTTGTGTGCTTGGCAGGCTAAGTTTTGACGATTTTTGGTCTTTGAATAGAAATCTTTTTCAGTGAGAGTAGTTATCAATACACCTTGCATTGATTAACCATGCAAAATTATATGTATATATAAGCAAATATTGTGGCATTAATGAATGTGGCTCTAACTAATTCCTATCTGAAATTCATTTAAATGAGAGAGACACATATCGCAATTTCTGTCACATGTGAGTTGGTGGGAAAAAAAGAAAGGCGCAAGCCCTGAATTTGCCTCTTCTTTCTGGTTTGATCTTTTTAGTCGGTGTCATTTAATTGCACGAGCATTCCAAAAGTATCACAACCTTTATTTATCTATGATCATATGGTAAAATAAACACATATAATGACGACATCTTGAAGAGAAAAAGGTAAAACAAGGGAAAAAAAAAGAGAAAAAAAAAAGAAGAAGAAAAAAACCTTTGAATTTGTAATACAGTGACCTTAAGAGAAAAAGGTAAAACAAGGGAAAAAAAAAGAGAAAAAAAAAAAAAGAAGAAGAAAAAAACCTTTGAATTTGTAATACAGTGACCTGAAAAGCAACCATATAGTCGGCATTATAGTGCTTTTCCTAACTATTTGGATATATAGCAAAAAATGAGTGTAAATCTCTTTTCTTTCCTTTTGATTTTCCTCTCTCTCTCTCTCTCTCTCTATTCTTTTTGTGGAGAGATATGGATGGGTTTAACTATAAGCATATGTTATCACAAGTGATTTATTAGATGAGAGGTTCAGAGTTCTCTTCCCTATGGAAAGCACTTGAGATTATTACTATAAGTATTTGGTTAAATGCAGACATTGCCTAGGATATAAAGGCTCCTATAATCACTCCCAATTAGAAAATAGCAACAATTGGTCAACCTATCCAACACTTTTTAAGATGGAAAAAAAAAAAAAAAAAACAATCATATTAATGCCACTATACACATTACCCACTTCCCAAGCTTTTTTATTCACGTTCTTATATATACCAATCAAAGCTGTTATAAATTAAAGGACTATTCTCAAAATGGGGTTGGATCATATCCCATTATCAGAAACATAACTCGTTTGCTCAAGAATATTCACATTTCTGAGTCTATAAAGCAATAACATGGCACGTTCTGAGTTGTATATACTACAATCCCATGTAGAGCAAAATAATCAAAGAAAATTACTCTTACCGTCGTCACCCTCTTTATCACTCTCTTTTTACACGTGAACGCAACTAATATTATATATTATTATTTAAATAAAAAATAAAAAAAATAAAATTTACATGTTAAATAATAAATATAAAAAGTGAAAAAAAAAATGACAAATGTGTAAAAGTCAGCAAGAAACACGAGTGCTGTTGATCTAGCTAAGCAAGCTACTACCACACACTGCACATGATTGATGATTCCCTTCCTGCACATGGCGTAATTTCCAGGCCATACCTCATTACATTAGACCCCATTTCATTTTCTTTAGCCACTATTTCTCGTAGGCTAGTGACACCATGATAATGCAGGGTCCACCTATGTGTGTGTGTATATATATATATATATATATATGATATATATGTACATGTATGTCAAATACACGCACACTATATAGGATATATAGCCAGGCATGTGTAGATAGAGAACCTGAATTTTAAACTCTGTTACATTAACTTTTAATGTGGTCCATCACTAAACATTCCTCTTGATGTGGGGGAGACACTAAACTTTGTTATTGTACCTTTGAAGTTGAAGTTTGATTTCCCATACTCGGTGGTGGAAAGTAACGTTTTAGTTTACATAATGCGACTCTAAGAAAATGCTTTACTGCGTATAATAATGTTGTATTAATATGTACATAAATATAGGGTCGCTTTAGAAGTTCTAGAAAGGCAATAATGCATGATCTAAGAATTATGAACTTTGAAATTTTTCTCCAGAAGCAGTATGATTTATGCCTCGTTTATTTTACCGATTTGAGTTTTTAATTTTAATTTAAAATCACATATAACTTTTTTATTACAGTTAGAAACTATCACATAAAGTCACATATTAACTCGAATTAAAAATTTAAATCGGCGGACTAACGGAGTCATAATTGATCCACCAAGCAAGTTGTCAGACATGAGCAGCTCATCAGGAATTGAAAATGGAGGACCGACCACTTATCCTAGTTGACAATTTGACGCGGATATATAAATGTACATACACTACACAATTAATACATACATATATATATATATATATAACTGTGATTGCACACATAAGTTAGCAGTGATTTTACACTTATTCTAGTATAAGATGTAAGATGTAGCTTTCATATCCTCTACCTACCAGTTAAAAAAGGAAAAAGAAAAATCTGTTTATAATTACACATCCGTAATAATGTCCCCTGTTCTCGCAACCACTTCTTTTAAAAACTAAAAAATTAAAATAAAATAAAAAATCCATTTGATGGGCATTGATAAGACCGTCGTTACTCTAAGGGTAGTAATTTGCGTGAGTGAGTCGTATTTGTGTCAATTTATTTATTAATTGTGTTAAAAAATATTAATTTAAATATGACATGTTTATTAAACGTGTAAAAAATGTCAACTAAAATACGACTAATTTGTCAATCGTGTCAATATGTATAACTCGTTTAAATTAATATATTGAATAAATAACTAATATAATAATAACTTGTTTAGCACGGTCAAGATATGTTTAATATGTTTATTAGTCAATTTATCTTTTCCTTTAAGAAAAATAAATAAATTTTACCTATAAACTTTCATGTTATATCACATGTCATTAGATTGCAGATGACACATATAATTAATCATGTCAATTCGTATCACTTCGTGTTATGAGGTCAACTCTAATCCAACTCATTTATTAATTGTGTTAATCGTGTCAACCCGATTATGACTTAAACCCATTTATAGTAAACTCAAACTCACTAATTTCGTGCGGGTCTTGAATCATGTCGTCGTGTCGCTATTCAGATTGTCCGCGCTATGTTACTCTCTGTACCCCATGAAGTAATCTCACTCAACTACATCATTATAAGTAGGGATGGTAATTCGTGTCACGTGTCGTGTTTTGATCATTTTTTTTAAATTTACAGTCAACCCGAACAAGACCCGTGACACAAAAATTTTTAAAAATCGCAACACGACCACTTTATGAGTTGACATGACACAATCTGAAAATGACCCGTGAATCCGAAATTGACACAAAAATTGTATACTTTTATTTACTTTTTTACATATTAGAAATAACTTAAAATTCATAACACACTAAATTACAATAACATCCATTGAAATTAAGTAAATAATAGTACAAGATTTTGAGTATAATTATCATGATATCACAAGTTCATAATAAAATTTAAAATATAAAATGAAAAATATATGTATTTTTTAGTTTTTTATGAGTTTCGTATCGTGTTCGGGTTAGGCGAGTCCAACCCGAAATTGACACGTGTTTTTTGTGTCAATTTCAGGTCGACCCAATTCTGAACCGAACCTCTTTTTTCTCAACCCTAACCCGTAAAATTCGTGTCGTTTTCGAGTCGTATCGTCGTGTCGTGACCCATATTACCGACCCAAATTATAAGTCAAAGAGGCCCTTCCTACACTCAACTACATCACTATAAGTCAAATAAGCCCTTCCTACCCCATATTCCATGTCTCCAAGCAATAAATACAGATGGATTGGACTCTTGTTTGTCAACATAACGCCCTGTTTTAAAAAAAAAATAATTTTGTAGTTGTAAACAGCTTATAAAGTTGGGAATTTCTCCCGTAAGATTAGAAAAATAGAACTACCGTTAGTTTTATTTTTTTTTAACCGTTAAATCTGTATTAAAAACTATATGTTCTACATAATTTTTAATTTTTATTTAATTTTAATCAAATCTAACGGTTAAAAAATTAATCCTAACGGTATATGACGGTCAACCGTAGACAGTTCTATAAAGTTTTCTTTCTTAGAAGTATGAACTCTTCATTTAATTTGGTACGTGTACGACCCGTCACACACACTCACGCAACGCACTAATATTGGTATCGTACGTGTTATGAAAGAAAGTGATAATATCCATTCTCTTACGCATATCTTTTAGACGGGCTTACACATTTTGTATGCACTTTTCTTGTGCAGCGTGCAGTATTCTTGCTAGGGAAAAATTAGGCTACACGCCGCTCCTTCTCCCTTTCTTTAGTTTCGTGCCCCATTTTTCCTTCTTTAGTTTTCTGCCCTTCCTAATTACTCCAGAGCTCGGTGATCCGTGTTGAAAAGTGCGATATAATCTTGAAATTACCATCCAGGTTACCTCTGATTCCAGTAACATAATCTGATAGATTAGCTTTAGTAATCTAGTGGATTACTCCGCAAACCAATGCCCAAGCCGCTGATCATTGTTGGTTCGGGCGTCATAATCTTACAGATTACTGGTGGCAATCAGTAGATTACTGCAGCGTTTGATGTCAGCGACAGGTGGGGGGTTTTTTGACAACATATTTTCTTGACCCTTTTCCGATCATTAAAGGGGCAGAATTCCAATTCCTATTAAAGGGGCAGAATTCTTATGATACCTGATTAAAGTGGCATTTATGCAGTTAGAGCTTTTAGATATGGAACTGAATTTTCTTGTTAACCCCCAGTGAAGCAAATTGTCCATTGGTGAAATGCCAATCACCAATTTTGACATAACGACACCAGTTGAAAGATTATCCAAATACTGTGGACGAAAACACAAATTTCCAAGCTAAAGATGAGAAGTCCTGGAACATATTTGAGGGTCCAAGGAATTTGCTAAAACTATATCAGCTGTGCGTACTCAAAACTAAATAAAACCATCTTTCATGTGGAATGTCCACTGGCTAAAAATTCAAGGAGAACAAGATTTTTTCATAGCAAACATCAGTTCTTTTTTCCTCTCCTTTTAACTATTATTACAGACATCCCTGGTTTGCGTCAAAGAAGGATGATTTATCTGGTATCCACTAATCAAGAATTGGGAAAAGATAAATTCTCATTTACAATTTCCTTACCCTGTCTAGTGTTATTATGCTTTGTTAACCGGGAGAATCTCATAGACTAGAGGAGTCCCAGCTAGAATCAACGGCCTTGATGATCTTGTCATGTAGAGTGGGTCCAGAACTAGCAATGATCCCACGATCAAGACCTTCTAGGTATATGCCCTTTGAGAAGTCCAGTGGTCGCCCTCTGGCGTCCGTTACCACGCCACCAGCTTCTTGTATGATGGCGACCCCAGCAGCATGGTCCCATATCTTCTCCTTGTAGCCGGCTCTTGCAAACTTCATGAATATCTCGGCGTCTCCACGAGCAATGGCCGCATATTTCACCATGCTGTATACTCGTAACGGTTGCTTCCTGCAGTTAAAACACGTCACAATAAGATTTCTAAATTTGTCAACCTCCTGCATTTTTCACTAAGACATTCTGTTCTCATCATATTATCTAAAATGTTACTGAACAAGAACTCAAATGCTTCATAGGCTAAAAAGTCAAAGACATGGCAAAGATGATGGAAGGAAAAGACATCCACCTGAGACCCATGCTGTGAGCCAGTCCAGCTGTGAACGAATGGCTCGAATTCGCCTTCTCAACTGGTTCACAAAAGGTTGCCAATGATGGGTTATCGATGGAGGAAACTTGAACAGGCCTTGCAGAGTTTGGCCACATGAACTTCTTATTTACATGAAGCAGGGGTTGCATCCAGGCCTTGCCACTACCTCTCCTAGCATAAATTACACAACCTTTGTCCCACGATTCGGACGTTGGCGGGGTCAACTTCGACACAATTCTATGGTAGCGGTGATGATAGCCAAGCCATTCCTTTCTCATTGGGTAATTGGGACACCCGAGTACTCCAAGTACAACTTCTCCATCCTCAATGAGTGCTAGAGCTATGGCATATTGATCGCCTCGAACAAATCCCAGTGTCCCATCAACAGGGTCAAGCGCCCAAAATCTTCCAGTAGGGCCACCATTTGAGTTGCATCGGCTGATTGCTTCAAGAACCTCGGAACTCCCAAGGGGGATTTCTGGTGCTTTGAGTCCAAAACGCGGTGCATCAGCTAGAGATTCATTCACGGTTTTCACTACAGCTTCTAATAACCCGGCGGCACCAGTCTTGGACAGAGTTTGAACATCTTCTTCAGCAACAATGGAGACATTTCTGCTTCCGCAGGCCTTGGACAATACCCAGCTCACTGTTGCTTGGACGCTCCAATCTGTTTACAAGGTGCAATAAAGAAAGTAAGAAATCTTCTTCAGAGCTTTTATTGAATACCAGCCAGAGAGGAATCAACTTAAACAATGTTTGCTCATCAATTAGAGGTTTAACTACTTGTCTTGTGAAACGTTTTCCATAACACAAGATGAGACTTATAATTCAAGATTATGACAATTTCAAAATGCAGTATGTTATGGTTGTCGATTGTAATTTATACTCAGAAAGTATCCGTCAAGAATCATAATGCTACAAGGAATCAGGTCTAATTACTAAGGCCTCATGCAATTCTCCAATTTGAGTTTTCAATTTCAGTTTACTACGATAAAAAGATCTCACAAAAAGTCACATATAACTTTTTTTGCTACAGTAAAAAGTCTTACAAAAACTCACATCTCAGCTTAAATTGAAACTCGAATTGGAGAACTGAACGAGTAATAAATTACTATTTATTCAAACTTAAGAAAAATTGAAAACAAACATCTCTTGCTGGCCATTTTGAAGTAACTATTCATGATTCCTAAACATGAAGACCAGAGTGGCACGGGCCTTGTGAATCAGGAAGCAAGCGGAAGAACAAAAAGCAAAAGAAAATAGTTTTATTTCCCAAAAGATATTGGTTATATTGTCAAACGATTTCTTCATCTTATTTACTTTCATAGTATTAGCCTCAGCCTTCACAACTGAAAATTCTTAAGACAGACTTACAAAGGAGACAAGTTAAAATATGCCTATTGAACGAAGTAATATACTACTTCTATACCACAGGATAAAAAATAATAATTGACCTGCCCCTAATATCCATTCTGCTTTGTATAAATACATGATCAGCTTAAATTCTACAGAGCGTATATTGTCAAAAGAGTTTGACCAAATTTCATAAGAAAGACAAAACAAAAAAAAAAAAAAAAAAAAAAAAGGAAAAGACAACGTATAGGAGAATTCTACCTAAGGTATTAAAAAAAAGAACTAAAATATAAGAAAACAAAAACAAAAACCTATAGGTAAGAGTAAGACAGTTCTGAAGTTGTGTTAAGTTGTTATACTTTTCATAATCTAGCATGGTTATCAAGTAATCTAACGGTTAGATACTATGACTTAAGTTTTCAAAAAAAAAAAAAAAAAAAAAAAAAAAAAAAAAAAAAAAAAAAAAAAAAAAGAAAAAAAATAAATATGTTTTTGGCTAAACAATCAATATGCTTTTGCTTACTACACTCATGTGCCACAAGTACCTAATCCACATGTAAATTTGCAGGGTCAAGTGAAAACCAACAAGAAACAAACCTACTAACCTCCACCCAACACTAGAATAACATTTCAAACCAACCACACACAAAATTAACAAATACCCAATTCAGAAAATTAACCCAAAAAAAAATTTAAAAAGGAAAAAAAATAGAGTGAGTGATGATCAACCTGCAATGGTGACAGGGGAATTGTCATCTTTGGACTGAAATCCATTGTTCCCGGTTTTAGAAATCAAACCCTCTTGAACTCTCTGGCAAAGCGCACAAGCCATTTGCACAGCTCTAACACCAACTTCCAATTCTTTGTCCTGCGAAAACCGCTCTGTTTCATGGCTCAACAAATGACTCTGCTCCTCCATTATCGAAGAAGAATAATACTTTTGGTTGAACTTGAAAGAAACGCAACCAAAAATGGGCACAGAAAATCTCTTGGGATTTTTCTCAAAGACCAAAAAAGTTCTTCTTACATGGTTTGTTGGTGTGAACTCTTTTGTGTTGTTGTAATTTCTTCTCCACATACCCAACCCATGTGGGATTTTTATAGCCACGCTCGAACAATTCAAAGGCATATCATTAATGAAGAAAAATATCTGCTTTCTTTCTGGGTTTTTTTTTTTTTTTTTTAGTTCGGATTATGTGGGATTGGTGACGTTGAAGGGAAGGCTGGGTGAGAAAATTAACGGAAAATGACAGAGAAGCTTAAAGGGTCATGATTGAAAAGATAAAAAGGGTTTTGGGGTGATCTTGAAATGGACAAAAATTAATTGGAGAGAAAACGAAAGAAGAAATCCATGAATCATGATGGGTTGAAATTTAGCTGTGGGTTTGTGATGATCAAGCTTATCATCAATGTTGCTTGTTTATGGAATGCAATAACTGGAATACGCAAAATTTCCCTTTTTCAGACAGCAGAGAATACAGTACAGTTCACTTCTCTGCTGTCACTGTTTTCTACTCAACGATTCTCTCTACCGTACGATGTACATTTCTTTTCTATACTTTTACTCTCCAATTTTTTTTTTTTTAATTGTAACCACACTCCTTGTATTTTTCTGATATTAGAAAATACTCTCGGATGGAAAGACATATTAACATCAACACTCTCCAAGTATTATACTGTAATTCAACGTATCATCTGAATTAAAAGTGGTCCATTTCGCCCTTAAAGTATGTAAATTGTACATCTCATGAAATAATGATATTTTATAAATAATATGTATCTCTTAACTTAGTGATTTTATGTCAACTTACTCCTCAATCCAAAAATAAATTAGGGAGAAGTTGATATAAAATGATGATTCTAGAATAGAAAATATAATGTTGTACAAAATTAGAGAATTCCGTATAAATTCACTAAAAATGACTTATAACCAATGGCTTTTTTTTTTTTTGTTTTTGAACAAGGGCAGTGAACCTTATTCACTGTTCGGTTTAATTCCAAAGATCGATTATTTTTAACGATTTGACAAAAAAAAAGGGACCGTTATGTGTTACAAGAGTGAATTGAACCAGACAATTATATAATGGTTTGGCTCGATTTGAGCAACAGGTTTTACCGGTTTGAACTAAAATGAGATAGATCCAATTGACTACCTCCGAGCTATGTCTAATTTCATTCAAAGAATTTTAACATAATAGACGATTTGACAAAAAAAAAAGGGACCGTTATGTGTTACAAGAGTGAATTGAACCAGACAATTATATAATGGTTTGGCTCGATTTGAGCAGCAGGTTTTACCGGTTTGAACTAAAATGAGATAGATCCAATTGACTACCTCCGAGCTATGTCTAATTTCATTCAAAGAATTTTAACATAATAAAAAGGGAAATTATAAGAGAATTATGCATTTAATACTTTTTAGATTATCTTATTTCTCTCTAATCTGACTCATCTATTAAATTACAATAAAACACCTCAATAGCTCTAAAAGCAATTCACGGTCCATAGTTTAGAATTTGAGTTTTACTACAGTAAAAAACTCTCAGAAACAGTCACATTTAACTTTTTTACTATAGTAAAAAAATTTCACATAAAGTCACATCTTAACTCGAATTAAAAATTTAAATCAGTAAATTAAACGGACCCTAAACTTACAAAAGACGAAGGGGACCTTTTAGCAAATTTTAGAGACTACCGGTGCACAATTTGAAGTGTAGAAAGTAGAAACCAAGGAAAAAATTTGTGAACGTGTCCTCTTAATTAAGTCACCATGAGCGAATCAATACGTTTGCAGATCATAAGGAATAAAAGCATCAATCTGATTAAGGGTTTTATCTTTCCCTTTAATTAAACAGCACGAAAACAAGGAATGCTATATGAGGTCCTATATTTAAGTGAACCTACAATATTACATGAGTATGACATATTGCTTAGATTAGGAAGAGCCGTAGTAATCAGTTTCCTGAGTTCCATTCACGTCATACTATAGATGAAAATAATGATATTTATTGTATGTCAAAAAATAATAGCGTCACTCTTTCTATTATTCTTTTTGTCACTTTTTGTATTTATTATTTGACACGTAGACTTTATTAATATATTATATTATTATTTTAACAGAAAATGAGATAATAAATTTTACGTGTCAAATAACGAAGCTAGCAAGTGATAAAGAGAGTGGCAAAAGAGTATAGATGAAAATAATGATATTTATTGTATGTCAAAAAATAATAGCGTCACTCTTTCTATTATTTTTTTTATCACTTTTTGTATTTATTATTTGACACGTAGACTCTACTAATATATTATATTATTATTTTAACAGAAAATGAGATAATAGATTTTACGTGTCAAATAACGAAGCTAGCAAGTGATAAAGAGAGTGACAAAAACGATTTGACAAAAAAAAAGGGACCGTTATGTGTTACAAGAGTGAATTGAACCAGACAATTATATAATGGTTTGGCTCGATTTGAGCAACAGGTTTTACCGGTTTGAACTAAAATGAGATAGATCCAATTGACTACCTCCGAGCTATGTCTAATTTCATTCAAAGAATTTTAACATAATAAAAAGGGAAATTATAAGAGAATTATGCATTTAATACTTTTTAGATTATCTTATTTCTCTCTAATCTGACTCATCTATTAAATTACAATAAAACACCTCAATAGCTCTAAAAGCAATTCACGGTCCATAGTTTAGAATTTGAGTTTTACTACAGTAAAAAACTCTCAGAAACAGTCACATTTAACTTTTTTACTATAGTAAAAAAATTTCACATAAAGTCACATCTTAACTCGAATTAAAAATTTAAATCAGTAAATTAAACGGATCCTAAACTTACAAAAGACGAAGGGGACCTTTTAGCAAATTTTAGAGACTACCGGTGCACAATTTGAAGTGTAGAAAGTAGAAACCAAGGAAAAAATTTGTGAACGTGTCCTCTTAATTAAGTCACCATGAGCGAATCAATACGTTTGCAGATCATAAGGAATAAAAGCATCAATCTGATTAAGGGTTTTATCTTTCCCTTTAATTAAACAGCACGAAAACAAGGAATGCTATATGAGGTCCTATATTTAAGTGAACCTACAATATTACATGAGTATGACATATTGCTTAGATTAGGAAGAGCCGTAGTAATCAGTTTCCTGAGTTCCATTCACGTCATACTATAGATGAAAATAATGATATTTATTGTATGTCAAAAAATAATAGCGTCACTCTTTCTATTATTCTTTTTGTCACTTTTTGTATTTATTATTTGACACGTAGACTTTATTAATATATTATATTATTATTTTAACAGAAAATGAGATAATAAATTTTACGTGTCAAATAACGAAGCTAGCAAGTGATAAAGAGAGTGGCAAAAGAGTGACGCTAATATTTCTTTATATGAGAAAACTTGAGCTTGAGAAGATGCAAAGCGTGTTGTATGAGCAATACTATTTTTTTTATTTTATTCCACACTCAATCAAGTTCGTCATATTAGTTTTATTCATTTAACCGATTCAAATTTTCAGTTTTAGATTTCTACAGTTAAAAGTTATTAGAAAATGTCACATTTAATTTTTTCTGTTACAGTTAAAACCTCTCAAAAAATGTCACATTTCAGTTCGAATTGAAAATTTGAATTCGCGAAACGAACGAGGCCATTGATTCATGCTCTATCTATGTTTCTCAAGAGTGACGCTAATATTTCTTTATATGAGAAAACTTGAGCTTGAGAAGATGCAAAGCGTGTTGTATGAGCAATACTATTTTTTTTATTTTATTCCACACTCAATCAAGTTCGTCATATTAGTTTTATTCATTTAACCGATTCAAATTTTCAGTTTTAGATTTCTACAGTTAAAAGTTATTAGAAAATGTCACATTTAATTTTTTCTGTTACAGTTAAAACCTCTCAAAAAATGTCACATTTCAGTTCGAATTGAAAATTTGAATTCGCGAAACGAACGAGGCCATTGATTCATGCTCTATCTATGTTTCTCTATCTAAATCTTCATGATGGCTCAGTTGATCACGAAAATGAGTTTTTGACAAAGACGGGCTTCTAATCTCGTTGTATAATAAAAAAGTATTGTCAATAGACAAACTCAAAACGTTTAACTTTAGTTTTGCAACTAATGATCGCGAGGGACTTATAGTTCAAAACCCAACATTGATAGTTAACCAAAATATATTCCAACTTGCATAGTTGGCGTATAACGTTGCCTAGTTTTACGGTTAAAGCTAAGGGAATTAGATGCCACGTTGATGGCAAGATTCCATCACCAACAAAATAAATTAAAGAAATTGTTGCACGCTTTTTGGCGTGTTTGGATTTATTCGGCCCTAGAAGAAAAGTGAACCTAAGCACCAGTGAAAAAAGGAAGAAGAAAAGCACATACCTAATTTTGTTGAACTTAATGGGGACAAGAAAGTGTGATGCAGCGGAATAAAGTGGCAGAATAAGATATCGTTCATTTTGCGAATTTGAGTTTTTAATTCAAGCTGAAATGTAATATTTTTTGAAAATTTTTCACTGTAACAGAAAAAGTTAAATGTGACATTTTCTAAGAGTTTTTTACTATAGAAACTTAAAACTGAAAACTCGAATTGGTGAAATAAACGAAGCCTCAGTTGTCACTTCCCATGCTTAAGGTTTTTATTTTATTTTATTTTATTGAGTTTAATAGTGCTTTTTTATTTTTTTGAGTTTAGTAGTGCTTGAAAAGCCAAATTTTAGCTCAATTAGTTGTAAATTTCTCCGCTCTAATTATAAATTGAGAATTCAAGTCATTTGGAGCCCCATTAAAAGCGGTGACATTCCCCGTCTCTTGTATAAAAACAAAAAAAAATCGAATTTTCCTCACTTACCATTCCATTCTGGGCCATATCTAAGCCCAGATTTCCAGAGATAAGTTTGAAGTCCAATCTGAACCCAAAAAGAAATGAAGAACACAACACAACATTGACAATGCTGTGGCCTTTGTGGTTGTGAGTCTTATCCATCCATTTCATGGACCAACCCAGATCTTGGACATACTGTTATTATATTGTTTTCTACATTTTTTTTCTATTTTTAAATATGCAATATAACAACCTATCACTTGCATTTAATAGATGAAAGAATCTATAAAAAAAAAAAAAAAAAAGGTATACCTAAAGTTTTATCAAGATACGACAAATCACAATAAAAAGTCTCATAGAGATTTCAAAATAAAAATATAACCTAGTCTCATATTCTTAAACTTCATATTCTAAGCTGTAGATTTTTTTTTTTTTTTTTTAATTAGTTTAAACCTGGAAGCATTTATCATACTTTGATAAAAGTCTAAGAAATTTCTAAATTTAGTAGACGGATATTACTAACCCATATTGCTAACTAAAAGCCCATCCAATACTAACTAAAGCAATAAGAAGTAACCACCCGGGTATGTTGAACCCTGGCCCGGGCCCTCCGAACCCTCCGATGTTGTTGGAGTTGGAGCCGGGCGACGAACCCTTCGAGCCCTTGA